TGCTCCAGTATACTTGTTGTCGAGATCTTCTCCTCGGTCGTTGGAGCTGCATAAATGACAAACAGTGTGCCTTCCTTGGACGATCTTATAAATGCTCTTGCTCCAATAAATAAGGATTTTTCTATTCGAGATTTTCTACTAGGCTTACTCTTGGGTGGTTTTGTGGGAAAAGTCATCTTCCGCAACTTCCAATCTATGGATGTGTTATGCTTTTCCAACCAAGAAAGACCAAGAATAATAGGATTTGATAGAGTTCTAATAATATTGAAAATAATATGACTACTATGGCCCTTAAACGTCACTTCTATAGGTTCTGATTCATGGGTGACACTACCAGACAATAAAGGTCGCCCATCTATGACCTCAACGTGAACAGGTTTGGATTTTTGTACTAAAGGGATCTTTCGATGCTTCGTAAATTCTTCGTTTAAGAAATAAGCAGATGCTCCTGAATCTAATAATGCTAAGGTTCTCAATTTCTGAGGGCCAATAAGCAAAGAAATTGTAAAACAAAAGGCAAGTTGAGCGGAAAGAAATGAACCTGGTTGTTGTTGTGATGTTTCACTGTCCAACCGCACGGTTCCTATTGTGGCTGGGCATCCTTGTTTTCCTGAATAAATGTGCCTCTAGTCTTGACAATACGTCGATTTTGCTTCTTGGGGCAGTTTCCAACTTTGTGGCCTTCTTCACCGCAATACAAGCATAGATCTTCCTCCATGCACCGCTTTTTTTCTTCTAGAGTAAGGGATTTGATACGTACCGCATCAATTTACATGTCTTCTATCTCTGAATGTGAATTCACGTTGCTTGCCGACATAGTTGGGACATGGCGAACCGTATGTTGTCTTGAACGTTGGTCTTGGCGACGTTGAAATAGGCAATTATCATACTTCACAGCTTGGCTAATAGCTTCGTTGAGCGTTTGCGGATCAGGAAGAGTTAATAACAAATCCTTCATATCGTCCCTTAAACCCCAATAGAATTGACTCATCAATGCTTCTTCATCTCAATTGTTGTTGCATGCTAATTACCTGAAGTCCGATGCATAGATTGATGTAGAGCGCATCTCTTGTCGTAGTGACCAGATCTTTGTTCTAGTCCATCGAACCTTGTCGTGTTCACCAAATGCTTCCGGAAACGCCTCCAAGAAGGTTTCAAAGTTGTTTAGTATGGAGGATCGTTTCTCAAACAAAGGAGCAAACCATGATAGAGCTTGTCTTGTAAGTAAGGTTCTAATAAGCCCAACACGTGACTCCTCCGTTGGATAGCGTTCGGGCTATAAAACTGTTATCAACCTCATTTGGTTGACAAATCCTTGAAACTTGGAATGCGTACCATCGAACTTGTCCGGAAGGCTAACTCGGGGCTCATTATGTTGTAGAACCAGCGATGCTTATCGAACTTGAGGCAAAGTTGCTTCTCCAAGTGTAGAAGTTTGAGGCTGGTGCAACCTAGATTGTGCCATTCCAAATGCTCCATCATTATGAAGCCTTGCCACGACTCCTTCAATCTCTGCAGTTCTTTGTGATAACGTAGCGAGGGCATTCATAATAGCATCCAACTTGGACTCCGAACTTTCTGTCATACTAATGTCTTGGCCCCCGGCCATTTTAAAAGAAGGACAGAAATGACTCTACAAGAAGACAATATTGGTTTAGAGGAGGGTACTCCGCAACCTCTAAAATGCCTTAAGAGCTTCAAGAAAAGGGGTAATCCACTCTCTCCAAGAAGAATAAGACTCCAATATTGTAACAAAAGAAGTATCAGTTTAGAGGAGGGTAATCCGCAACCTCTAAAATGCTAGTACACTTCCAAGCAGAGGGGTAATCCGCACTATAACGAGGAAGAAACTAACTCTGATATCTGAGGTGAGTCAAGTCTTGACAAACTGTCACAGACATAGAAATATAGACTCGAGATCTAACAAGAAGTTCAAGAAGAACTGGTAAGAACTAGATTAATCAGATGAATACAAGAACAACACCAGAGAGGTGAGCTAGAACTCCAAGAGATGTGTTGTCGAGACTGAAGAACTCTTCAGCCTCGATTCCAATATATACTTCTATTTAGGAAGCTTCTCAAGCAACTTCTACCAACTAGGAAGCTTCTAGAAGTTCCAGAGACTTGCTTCTAGAAGGTTCTAGAAACTTATCTCTAGAAGGTTCTAAGGACTATGTCCCTAATATCTTCTACCAACTAAGAAGCTTCTAGAAGGTTCCAGAGACTTGCTTCTAGAAGGTTCTAGAAACTTGTCTCTAGAAGGTTCTAAGGATTATGTCCCTAACAGATTGCATGCTTGTTGGCATATTCGAGTATATCGAGAAGTTGATCGACCTTTACTAAGCCTTATTTAGATACCTAATCTTTACTACTATTATCAAAATTGATATTATTTATATAATAAAATTTATTAGAAAATTTATCATTGTATCTCAAGAATCTCATTTAATTCAATCAAAAGAATCTTATAAAATCTAACAATAATAGGTGATGATGGTTTATTATTTTAAAAATAAATAAAATAAAATAATAGTATTTATTATATTTATTGATACTAATTATGAAAGATGTATAGATACTAAAATGCCTATTTTTGAAATGATATCTAAACTTTCAAATGCCACAATTTATTAGAAGTCAAAACAAAAATTAATAATTATATTAAATATGACCAAATCTAAGTACAAAGTTTTATCTAATGTTGCTTGCAATATAATCTATTTGCAAGACATATTTTAAGAATTAAAAATTATACAAGATGAACCATCACAAATATTGATCAAGAAAAAAAATTGCATAAATTTGGTATACATTCTTATATTACATGCAAGAACAAAAGACTTTGAAGTATTGTATCATTTTTTTAAAAAATATTAAAAAAAAAATCAAATAAAATATATTCTTATTTCTCAATAAGATGCAAACATTCTTGTTAAATTTGTAGCAAGCACTAGTTTTCAAAGACTTAGAGAAGTACTTGGAATACAAAAGATTTCTTTAATAAAAATCAACAAAACATAACCCTAACTCATTCTAGAGTTGTTAAGCTATCAATCTTAAGCTCTTTCTTGATAAACTTGTCATTAGAATTAAAAGATCTAGGATTTAATTTACTAAACTTATTATCCTATTATTTATTAGGATTAGAAAATATATTATATAAATTTTTTAAAATAAAAAATTATCATTGTAATTCTTCCTTACAAACTTAAAAACATGTTGTGCAGGTTGGCTTAATTAAAAAGATTAATCAAGCCAAGCTACACAATATGTTTTTAAGTTGAAATTTGTAGTCATAATTTGCAAAGAAATCAAAATTATATGATATTTTAAAAAAATAAACATAAAAAAGATTTGCCTAACAAACCTTGTAGAAACTTCTTTCTTCAAACATATCTTTAGAAGTAGTCAAGAGTTGGTTGTTAGTTTTATAGCTAAAAAATCCTCTCAGAGATCATATCAAATAAACAATAGTTTGAACAAGGATCAAATCACAAAAAACAATAAAGCAACACAAAAAAGATCCTTATTTGAATTGAGAAAATTTCTCATTGTACTAATCTCAACACTCAAGAATGAAAAAACCCTAAAAATATATTGACTTTTAAAAAACCACTACAACAATCTAAATGAGAAGAATTATTTATAACTTTTAAATCATCCACCTATGTTTGCAACATCTGAATTGTATTTGATAATAGAAATATGTGTTGCAACATGTTGTCTATATGACGGTTGAGTGCAAGAGGGAATGTTGAATGAAACTCATTCATCCATGCTTTGTTGAACACCGTTCAATACTAATGCCGTCACTTTATTATTTTTGACATGGCTCAATTGATGTTGACCAATGTACAAAGCCCAGTGTCACACTTGCTGTCTTCAGCCTAATTACACTAAATTTGGTCTCTCTAATTTTTTTCATTATTTGGATAGGAAATGTACATAAGCACTTCTAATTGTTGTGCTAATCATGCTCTTCGAGCTGGATGTATTCTATGTCTTGATTCAATACAGTGAGAAATTCAATTTAACATATAGAAAAATAAATGCTCTAGGGAGTACAATTCGTAATACCATGGACAATGATGCACTCACTGATTATTACAAGCAAGCATACTTTCCAAAAACATGACTAAGGTATATGAAAATTTGGTTTTTTGGTATACTCGGTTGATCGCGATTCATTTACAGATGTAATGGAACACTCACTCTGGCCGTATTCGCAGAGATGTACATCGCTAAAGAGAGGCTACGTATGTGGCGTGGATTTTCTTTCTCTGACGCTTTAATTTGAGAAAGTGTGTTCAGAGTGATAAGTATCATTACATCAGCCATGAGCCTGGTGCTGAAGGATTTGGGTGTTGTCGTGACAGATAACAATGCCCAGACGTGCAAGCTGACAGTCAAACATCCAGATTTCTGCTGATGGCAGAATTAATCATCTTCAAAGAAGACTCCATTATCACCTTCGATGACAAGCGAAGAATATACGACATTGGTTTCAAGTCATAGATTGGTAATCCACTACACACATGTAAGAATTTGTAGTCATCGAGACTATTATTCACTTGGGACAAGTTGCAACATTTATTGATGCTTCGAGATGCAAACTCCACCCAAACTGCCTAAACCTCGTCAATGGGTTTCTGGTTTGTACCTCCAATCAAATTTCGTGCTTGTGTTTTTCAAACCACACCCACATAAAAAGCATTCTTTGGAGCTGTATCTTAATACGTGCATCAAGGCTTGAAAGCCGTAGTAGTCTCCATCCATTACCAGGGTCTTGTGGGCTGTCACGCTGTGGTTCATTTCTGGATACATTTCTAGATTCTACTTAGAAGATGCGAGGCCTTGATTGTCAGTGTCCACAATCAAGCTCGCCGTACCACTTATGCATGAGTCTCATAAGACCTGACATGAAGCTAGCGTAGAGGGAAAAGGACGAGGATGGTGATAGGGAGGAATGGTAGGGGGAGGGAGGCAGATTGGGGTGCTTGTACGCTGATGATACTGGTTCGCCACTGCTCGGTCGGCAGACTTAGAGGACCAGTTTGGACTTAGCGAGGGAACTGGAGTCTATCTGTCAGGTTTTTGAAGTTGTTGCGAAAATAAGCTCTACTTTCGAATTAGCTGCAGCTAGCGGTGTGAGGTGGTGGCAAGGCTGATTACTGACATGATCAGCGAGCGCCTACAGTTGAGGAGATTGTTTTTCTCTGTGTAGGGCCGCATTTTTATTGGAGATGGTGGGCTACAATTTGAAAGCAGTAGTTCTGACAGTCTCTAAGCTTTGTTGCCATGGCTTAGAATCTTTGACAATCGACTTGTTGACTGTTATTTTGGTTCTTTGGTCATGGGTTTCTGTTAATCATTCCTGCTTAATGCAGGTTTCTTAGAACTTTATGCACTACTTTCAATCTCTAGCTCTACCCTTTCACGAGAGCAGCTTTAGAAGAGCCAGTTATAATGAAGGATCGTTTTAGAGCTGGCACATCAATCGCCATTTGCGAGCTAGTGTATCAACTGGAATGTATTCATTTCATGGATACCTGTCCATACTCTTGAGATTGACAACAGATTTGGCCGAAGCATACAGCAGGTCAGTGGAGAGTAGAACAGGCTGATTTGTGAGCAGCTACAGTTGCGGCGTAGTTGAAGCAGCGATGGAGTGGTTCTTGCTTGCTGCAGTAGCTGCAACGGCGTGGTGGGCGCATTGCACCCAGGCGCACCTGCTTATGGATGAGGATCTCACAATGACTCAGCTGCCTGCATCTGCCGACCTCTTCTTGTCCAAGGTGCTGGAGACTATCGACCCTCAGTAGGTTCTCTTCGTCCCTTCTGTATCGTCTCTCTTTGCACAACTTCCAGGTTTCAATTTGAGCTATTGCAGAATATTGAGACCATAATGTCAGAATTCGAAAAACATTTTTTTCGCGTTTTTGGAAACTTTCTTGTTGTCAATCGAAGCGCGACCTTTTTTCTTCTTCTTTTTTTTCTTTTTTTTTTTTTTTGCGAATGATTCTCTTGTAGAGATTAAGCAGGATTATATCTGAAACGGGATAACAGCTGAGCGTTGATCGTCGTGATGCCATTCTGTAGTTACGTGGAAAGAAAGAAGAACTCCACTCGGCGTATTCTCGCTTCTGCCAATGGGAATCCGGTGGACGATTGCTGGCGTTCCGATTCCAACTGGCACAACGACCGCCAAGCGCTAGCGGATTGCGCTATTGGATTCGGTAAAAATGCTGCCGGTGGGAAAGAAGGCCGAGTATACGTCGTTACAGACGACAGCGACGACAATGTCGTGAACCCCAAGGAGGGCACTCTCCGCTACGGTGTGCTGCAAGAAGAGCCCCTGTGGATCGTTTTTGACAGGAACATGAAGATCAAGCTCAAGAACGAGCTCATCTTGACCTCGTACAAAACTATCGATGGCCGCGGGGCGAACGTCCACCTCTCGGATGGAGCTGGGCTGAAAATCCAGTTTGTGCAAAATATCATAGTGCACGGGATTCATTTCCACAACATCGTCCCCACAGGTCCTGCTGTGATTCGGAGCAGCCCGACTCATGTGGGGCACCGAGATAAAACAGATGGCACCGCCATTGCCATCTTCACTAGTCATGATGTTTGGGTGGATCATTGTTTCTTCTCCAAGGCTGACGATGGGCTCGTGGACGCTATCCGTGGGAGTACCAGGATCACTGTGTCGAATTGCTATTTCAGCAATCACGACAAGGTACGATCGATCGATTCACTGTTCTTGCATTGTTTGTTATTGGTACACTCTACATTGTTTTCTACACTCTTTGTTTTTTCTTTGTTTGAAGGTCAGTTGAATGAGAGAGGGAGGAAACAATCATGTGTCCATTGGGTGATGGTGACAGGCTATGTTGTTTGGAGCACACAAGCAAGACACTGAAGATAGAGACATGACTGTTACCGTCGCATTCAACCACTTCGGACCAAACCTTATGCAGCGCCTCCCCAGGTATGTATGATAAGTTTTGAAACGTCTGAAAGGTTTGTACTCCGCGAACATGTTTAGGTTGGTGTTTCTGAAGCATATCATTCTTGCAAACTAAGCGTTGCTCATTGAATCAGACAACACATGCTTTTGTTGAGCTTCAGACTGGAACATGCCTGTAAAGGATTCTGATTCACTCGCTACCTCTATTGGGAAAAGATTTTTTGGGTTGATCGTTAGTTGAGTCTCTTTCGTTTTGTGAAGGATGCGTTTTGGGTATTGTCATGTAGTCAATAACGACTACCCATCAGGTTGGGGAATGTACGCCATTGGAGGGAGTGAAGACCCTACATTTCTCAGTGAGGGGAATCGATTCGTGGCATCAAAAAATAAGGAGGTTCAATAACTTCAAACAATCACTCCTCGTGCATGATCATGTGTTTACCTGCATACAAACGACATATCAACCAACAAAAAGCAACATGATCCAAGCACATTCACCGACAAGATCTGTCTATGACAAGATGATGTCTGCAGGTGACAAAGCGCGTGGATGATGGGGGCAATGACTACGGTGGCGAGGAAAACTGGAACTGGGCCTCGAGTGGTGACTTGCTCTTCAACGGTGCCACATTCGAAAGCTCTGGAGCCAACGGCGGAGCATCAGTGTACAACAAAGCCATGAGTTTGTCAGCTCGTCCGGCATCCTTGGTGGAGATCATCACTAGCGATTCGGGACCTCTCATGTGCACAGCAGGGGTACAAATATGTCCATTCCTCCAACTCTCTTTCAAACCAACACCAACCCAGTTGCAAAACTCTTAACCTTACTTCAAAGCTCCCTTATGTAATTGCATCGTCATAGACTAGCATTGCTCACCACAGCCCGTGTCTGTGCAGGATGGGTACTGTGCGGGGAACTACCCTCTGCAGTCAACCAGCATGACCTTCAAGAGGCAGTCACCATCGCCGCTCTTCGTTCTCCTCTATATGTCTGTAATGCTGCTATTTCCTCTCATTCTCTGTTAGAATTGCGATTCTCCCGAGTAACACACAACTGTTTTCCAGATTTTCACATGCGCCGTGATGTTTGTTATGACTCCAACCTGCCCTGCTGATTCGGAGATAATGAAGCTGTGAACATGGGGTAAATAAGTTGTGCATTCGTAGCTTAGATGCACTATGGTTTGTGGAGCTTGTGGAAATTCTCGCTTTCGGAAAGGGAGGCAGTGTTCGGCACCACTGGTAGCGATGAATCATGGGTTCAATGGGGTGATGTGCATAGAGGTCTTCCATTTTGAGATAAAACTGCAACAGAGTTTTTCTATCTATCCATCAATTTATTCAGTTTTATATATATATATATATATATATATACGGTGTGTGTACTCCTTCACAGTCGGTAATGTGATCTGATGTGTCTGCATCGTCTGGCTTGCACCCATGTCGGCAAGACTTCATCGCCACAACCATGAAAAAAAGAAACTTTGAGATTAAATTAGTGAATCTCTTAATACAAATTAATCTAGAGATCACTGGGAGAGAGTACTCATTGGTTTTCGTAATTTTGTTGAATGCTTTATTGCTAGTGGCAAAAAAGGTCATTTGTTCTGTTAGAAAAGATCTGATTACATTTATTGATGAGTTTAACTTAAACGTAATTGATAATGAATTCTTCTCAAGTTATCAGTATAAAGTGATAGTAAAATGCTATAAATAAGGTATAAAAGGAGGTTATATTCTTATTTGCAATTTTTATTTACATGACTTAGCATATAAGAATGAAAAAATGATTAAATAGTAAATTTTTATAATATACTTTATAATAAATAGAAACAAATTGTATAGATTTTATAGATTTTAATGTGTGCATATATATATATATATATATATATATATGTATATCATATTTATAAATTTATTTGCAACAACCAATAAAAAAATTAAAAAAAAAAATACTATCAAAATACTAAATGGGTTTTTATTCTAAATACATATAAACATACTTTTAAAGAATGATTGCAATTCAAAATATTATATAATAAATATATATTTATATATATATATATATATATATTTATTTCAACATACTTTTTTACAAGTAATATAAAAATAGTATAGAAAATAATTTTATAACTAAATAAAAAAAATTGTCTTTACAAAACACAAACATTAAAAAATAAACCAGAAGAAAAAAATTCATATACACATATGTATACATCAATATATTGTTTAACAAAAATATTTAAACAAATATACATAAAATTTATAGATATATATTTTATATATATAATATAAATATATTCCAAAAAGTTGTATCTAGTCACTTAATAGATATTATTAATATAAATCTTTATTTATAAAGTTGTATTTCTTTAAACAAATTATATCATACACTTTGAATATTTCATTTTAATATAAATATTATAATATTTTTTAGTTTTTTTCTATAATCCCAAATTTAAAAATTTTAACATTTTTTTAAAAGATATTTTGTACTTTAAAAAAAATGCTTAATAATTTCAATGATATTATATAAAACTATAAATCTAAAAAAATTAGTGACACTTGAAATAGAAATTTTAATCAAATAATATCAATATATTACATTCTTATGATGTATATAATTTTTCATCGAATTTTATTTAAGTGAATTTTTTAGAAATTCTGATATCTTAGATATCTTGATTTTTTAATTTAATATGTGTATGTGTATTTATATATATATATATATATATATATATATATATAGTAATGATTAATGTATTAATAGTCTTTTAAACATAATTCAGTGTATCAAAAATATTTTATGTAAAATATGCAAAAAAATATTATAATAATAAAAATATAGATTTAAATTTCGAAAAATCTAGTGAAAATAAATTAAACTTTTTGAAATAAGTCGAGAGTTTCTCAATTTTTTTAAATTAATATATACAACATGAAAATTTTAAAAATGTATTATCTTAAGAAAACTCATTACAGTAGTTTTAATAAGTTTCAAACATCTAATTATAATTATTTATTTTAAACTTTTTTATGTATAATCTATTTTTCTTTCAATTTTTTTTTTTTTAATATTTTTAATTATATTCGTAGAGTTGGTTGTGTATAAGGAAGGAAGGAGTAAAAAGAAATTAGTGCCCAGTCATGGTTGTGTACAACTAAAGTACCTTGTCGATGCACTAGTGGCAATTGCAACAGCCAATGTTCACTTAAAATTGGACATCCTTTGCTGTTTATCTCTTTCTTCTTCTTGAGGTGATTTTCTCCATATATATTTTTCCTCTTGAAAGAGAAATGGATGATTTGTAAATATTTGTATTAAGAAACATGTGATGCAAGTTGAGCATACACGTACTATTTAACATACATTCACACAAGTGAAACATTTAAATAAACAGCTACCAATTGAAATGCATGTGAGTTTATTGTTGAAACTTGAGATTATGGTTTTCGTCTTAAAAACAAGTGTGTGTACACACATGTATATAAATATATATATACATATTCTCCAGGAAGAGATTTGCTAGAAATTGATACAAAATCACAAAGCCATAACTATCTTCAATGTTAACTTTTATACTTAATGTGAAGTTTATGTACTTAATCAACTCTCGTACATCCATACTGGAACATGACCCATGCTGATCAGGTTACCAGACAGACTTGCTATCACCACAATACAGAACACGAACAATGAGTCACAACAGAGATAGTTACGACGAGTCTAATCAGGTTCAGGATCCCACTCTGGTGAAACTGCACAGCAATCGACTCGCACTGATACAGTCAATTTATTCATGATCTGTATTCATAAAGACTAACACGTGTGACTGAGAGGCAGGGTTGTTCAGGCTAAGTGAAGGCAGTGAAAAGATCCAAACAATCGGCTTCACAGATACCATGCTGGAGCTTCGATCCACACCCACAATCACAAGACAACATAGATGGATAATACTTATCTCTGATTCTCTCGATCACATTCATTGGCTTGTGTGGACTTGCACACAGTAATTTTCCCGATCTAATACGAGGGACATATACCCTTTCCCGACATCAGATACCGTCTTTTATTGTCTCTCAGGAGCCAATGCATCACGCAAGCCGCTTGTTTCGTCATTATAAGCATAGATTCAGAACTTTCGAACCGGATAACCTCCACCCCCAGGTGATACCAGCAAGAGTTGCAATGTTTGCGTTAGGGCTCGCGTCAAAGTTTCCGGAAAAGAGTTCGTCAGGACTCACTCTCGTCATCTAGTTGTCCCTTGTCCAGCAACAGCTCTGACATATCCACATACATTACTGAGGTTCACAGCTGGAAGAGCTGTGTTGTGGCTGGATGCACATGGTACTGCTGGCCAGCACAACAAGGAGCAGAATTCGGTCAATTGAAGGTGCGTCGAGGAGCCTCGTGGCCTTCTTAATCAAAATTCAAGTCACCGGTTCTATTTCGAAAGTGGAGGAGAAGACAACCCACTTGTAAGAGAAGAAAAACACGAATCCACCCAGTGTTTCTAATGCAGAATCCAGCCACTGAACCCTACTAATAGTAACTTGAATGAACCCAATGCCTCTATATAAAAATATACAAAAAGAATGTATCCACATATCCAAAGGAGCTACTGCACAAGTATTTTATCTGAGATGAGTAAGAATCGCACTCAAGTCTAGAGTCATAATTTTAGACCATCTGTGGCTTAATGCTCATGGGCGCGTCTGCGTGCAATCCCGAAGCCAGGGCCGCCTCCACGATAGCGAGATCCTTCAATGCTTCCCGCGGGGAACCTCTCGTATTCACAGATCCATATCCCGTGTGATCGATGGCCTTCTGCACATCAGCAATGAAAGATTTCCACTCCAACTCTAACCCCGAAAGCGGATAAAATTGCAATGAGGAATCGCCCACACGAGGTTGCATTTTCAGCTGGTAGCCAAACCGACCATCGTCGCCAACTCCCCGCTCCACTATTACCGTCCCCTTCGAACAGACCACCCGCCAACACGCCTTACTTACGGAAGCCGCGTAAGAGATCACCATAGCCCCCGAACAGCCATTATCAAATTTTATAAGCGTGGTTAGGGTGTCGGGTGCTGGAACCGATGGATCCCTGTGCGTAGCTATGGCGGTCACAAGCTTGATGTCGCATCCCGTCATAACGCGCAACCCAGCGACGAAATGCACCCCACAGTCAAGGATAAAACCACCTTTTAGTGCAGGGTCGCGGCGCCACTCGCATCCGAAGTACTTGTTGGACTTCGTCATGGGGACGTCGATCGTCACCGTGACGGACACCATAGTACCGAGGGACTTCACCATGGCTGCGGCGTCGTGAAATGCCGGCTCGAAGCGGTAATTCTCTGCGACTGTCCAAATGGGTGCCGGGGAGGGAAGAGAATGATAGAAGCTCATGCTCTTGAGGCCGATCTCAACGGAACCCGCCACTGGCTTCTCCTGGAGGACGTGCTTGCCGGCTCGGAGGGCGCGCGTGACGACCGCGGGTTGGGTGAGGATAGGGAGAGCTACGGCACAGCAGTGGACCAACTGAGAAGAGAGGATGATCTCCAGGCCAGCATCGCCCCACTCCGCTTCCACATCAGGCGCGAAATGGAGCACATTTTCCTGCATCTGGCGAGCTTTGAATTCCGACCGCGACCAAACGTATCGGAGAGATGCAATGGGGCTCAGAGAAGAGAGCACTGGGATGTAAGCGTCACGCGCGAACACACCACATCCGAGGAGCGCAATTGCGGGAAGCCTCTTAATTTCGCCATCTACATCCATGCTTGCAATAAAAAATCAAAATAAAAAAATCGATCAATTCTCTCTCCCTCAGTCCCCAGCTCGAAAGACACCTTCCAACTAAACCAACGCCTCCTATCTCTACCCAGAAATCTTCACCTCGCAGCTAAGCAACCAACCCCTCTCAAACTTCTGCACAATTTCACGTCGATTTAACCCCACTAGCACTCTCCATCCAACAACCACCATGTGTTCCCTTTCATAGCCAGAGAGAAATCACGAAACGATCCGGAGCATCCACCTACAGGATCCTGTACAACTATACAATCATAGCCAGGACACAACCCTCGCCAAATCCCGCATCACCTGCACCGGGTCTATTGCATCATCGCGTCAATACCACTTTCAATCACAACCACAACATACAAATAAGCCGAATCAATCATCGCTATAAAAAAACGACCATTTCGATCAAAAGCTATATATACCCGGGCCCACCGATGTTCAGATTGCCACTATTTTTCTATGAACTCGTTCGCAACTCGTGACGAAACATTCTGCAGAAGGAGAGGGCAAAGTGGGGCCCTGTGACAGGATGGTGACGAAATCACACCCCTGCGTGAGAGATCGACGCGGTTTCCCTACTCAGATGTACGCAACCTGATACGACACCACATCATACCACACCAAATCACACAAACACCTCTTCTCGTCGAGAGCCATGTACAAATCGAGTCCCCTCCCTTTTCCAATCTATCGAGAGCTTCCTTCCGATCTCTCGTCCCCGCCCCCGCGCCCGCCAATTCCCGCAGCGCCATTTGCGGCCATACGCTTTGACGTCGGCGACACGTTTCGGCGATTGGGGAGCGGGGTCGCTGCGTTGTCGCCATCCTCGCGGCGTCCAGCCCAGTACGGAAAGGGGGGTGACAACTGTCCAGCTGTCAGCACGGAGATAGGTTCCGTTCTTGGCAATTGGGGTGTGTCATTCCTTGCCCACGCTCGTACTCATCACCGTCTGCAGGGGGGATTACTATGCTTAGTAAGCTTTTTGAAAAAGTACATTATGTGTGAGTTGATGAATACACTCTCCGTGAAAAATAGTGGAGTCGAAGTTTGGCTTTTTTTACATCGTTTATTAAAAAGTTCTTGTTTTTTTTTTTTTTTTTTTTTTTTTTGATAGTGTGTTATTTTGTTTTGAAATGATCTTATGCACTGAATTTTGATAACAAGTAATAATTCTATCATGTGCAAAATATATGTATATAGACAAATATTATTAGACAAATGTAATTCATGAGACAATTCAATAATTTATTTTAAAATGAAATTAGTAAATATTTTACATTCTTTGATGCAAACTCTATTGTTCTATTGTTATTGGAATATTCTTTCATGCAAACTCTATTGTTTCATATAAGATCTCTTTTGGTTAAATTTAATATATGTTCTATCTTTGCATAAAAATCTTTTAACATGGACACATTATTTTATTTTATTTTTATTTCTATAAAGTCCTAACAGTAGTTCTATTTGGTTTTCTTAAAAAATTATGACAAATAAGGGATTGTTGATGTCCACTTCTTAAGTCCTTGCAATTGTAATAAATTAAATTATTACTTATAAAAATAAATAAAATGTATATGTACAAGATATAATAATAGGGTATTGCTAATGCCACCACAATTTTTTGCTACTACCACCACAAACTCTCAACCATCACAAGCTATCTATACCATTTATTAATGCTAAATTTTAAAAAGTATAAAATTTTCAATTATTTTTTATAATTTATATTATTTATTATAATAACATTTGTTATAACTATTTTGTGAAAATAATTATTTTATTAATTTTAAAATACTTTTTATCAAAAAAATAAAACATATATTTATATATATTAATAAATATATTATTAGAAAAAAATTAGAATAAATAAAACTAAAAATATCTTCAGTAGATAAGGAATTGTAGTAGCAATAGCAAAAGTTGTATTTGCAATAATAAAAATTCTAATACCATTAAAAATATCATATATATATATATATATATATATTATAATTATTTTTATTATAAAATATGTATAAATATATATTTTTTTACCATGAATTATTTTATTGAATAATCAAAACTTATTAAGATTTATTTGATAATTTAGAATATAAACAATCATTCAACAAATAGATAAGCCTTCTAATTATTTAAGGAACTACATGTACTTTAGATAAAATATTTATATAATTAAATCTAAAATTTTAAGTAATTGATTCAAAATATACATGTGTTGAGAAGTATTTTTTATAAAAATATTTTTGACTAACAAAAAACTATATATGTACTAAAAAATATGGCCAATATCAAATGTATTTGTAATTTCAATAAACCATTTTCATATTTAGTGCAAGTACATATTTATTAATTATATATATAAAGATATTGTGAAGTATATTCATCTTTTTTTATATAAAATAAAAACAGAAATAATGATTTATCTTATTATTTATTAAATTTATGTACTTATTAGTTTAAAAATATTTAAAGTTTATTTTATAGTTGCATAAAAATTATTTATTATTTTGTAAATCATTTCTTTAGATAATATTTTTGCTAAATTTTACTATAGTTTATTTTTAGCTAATATTTATTAAATAATAATTATATATTATTCTTAAATAAAAACTTAAAATATATTTTAATATAATCCATATTGCTTTATTATTTATAAATAATCTAATAATTTATATTTAAAAATTTGAAACAATAAAAATAAAAATAAAAATTCTTTCAACTTCTAATTTATTAGAATACTTTACATATTTCTAGAAACTTCTAAATGTAAAAACTTGTATTTGGCTACAAAATATTATGTAGTTTTTGAGCTCTCATATAATAGGCTTATGTTCTTGAATTGATACAATATTACAGTTAACTATAAAATTATAGAGCTATTAATTTTATGAATTTGAAATAGATTATTTAATTTAAAAGTATTTTAATTTTATGACAATAGAAATTAAATGAAAAATCTTGTATTACTTTCAAAAATATGAATTTCAAACAAATAAAAACTCTATATATTCTTATGTCTCTATTGTATTGTCTTAAAGACTATAATAATTGCAATGTCTTGTCTAATAACTCAATAAATGATAGTTTTTGAATTAAATTTGCTAGTTATTGGTTTTTTATTTCTTTAGCACTACAAGTACACATAAATACAAACAAAGAGAGAAGGTAAAATTAAATATTTCTAAGATCTTATTTCTTTTATAACAAAGATTTGTTATTCTTTATTTTGATTTTGATAGATGTTGTCAAAAAAGAACATCAATCTTATTTGATGCATTTATAGGATTTATAGCACGCTTCTATGTACATTTATTAATATCATATAAATACCAATAAATAAGATATTTCAACCTATTTTAGTATTTCTTTGAATTAAAATGCTTCTAGCTTAAATTCTTCATTATTATCTACTTCTATAAGAATTGATATTTTTCTTCTTTCCAAGATATTTATTGTCTTATATGGCTCAAGAAGAGACATATAAAATATGAGATGAATCTTCATGGATTTCAATAAATATAATTGGTAAGAAACTAGATTTATTTATTTACAAATAGAAAATAATCAAAGTCTATAATAATCCAATTTATCATAAGGGCAGTTAATTTTGATATTGCAACAAAGTCTATACCTTATTATCAATGTGGAATTGAAATTACTCCTTCATACAAATTTAATCTTCTTATCTAATATAATATCATTGAATTATCTATAATAGCAATAGATGTTTTTAAGAAAAAATTTAGCTATCTCTTTACATGTGATAAATTTTGTACATAATACAAAATACTTCATATTATTAAAAAAATCTACTATTATAAATATAAAATCATAAGAACTTGAGATTAATAGATCCATGATAAAATCTATAGAAACAAAAGATTATCACTTTTTTAAAATAGGTGATGGCTAAAAACATCTATAAGATCAATGATGAGAAATTTTTATTTTTGAACAAATATCAAATGATTGTACAAAATCTTTGATTTTTTCTACATTTGATGCCATCAAAAATTTCTAAATATTAGTTCTAAAGTCTTATTATATTCAAAATATATAATTATTAAAAAAGTCGTAACAAGCTTGAAGAACACGTAATTGTGCTTTGTCTTTTGAAATATATAATCATTCTTTGAAATAGATTAGATTATTCTTGAATTTAAAGTTAGAAATTATTTTAAAACTTAAAAGAATTATTCTCAATAACATGAATAAGAGAATAAGAAGATATATTCAATTCAACTTACTTAAAAAATATTGAATTAACAGTCAATGTTGATTTCATTGCTCAAAGATGAAAATTTTCTAACTTCAAGAAAATTATTCTTTATTGATCAAAAGCTATATCTTTTTCTTTAGATATAAGATAGGAATGTCTAAAAAAGATGTCTTAGTTTATTTATTTTTTAGATCAATAAGTGATTTTGAAATTAAATCTTGATAAAGACATGTTTTAATGGACTTCACAACAATTCAATACATATGCTACCATAAAATACTTGAAGTTTTTGTGATTTGTATACATTGTGACTACACTTAAAGTACCTTTTAGATAATGACACCATTTTTGTAATGAATTTACTATTGCAAGAAGCTCTTTTTTATGGATCTCATTGTTGATCTTAGTAGCTAAAAATTTCTTAGAATAAAAATCTATTAGATAAAACTTATCCCCTACTTCTATTTGTGACAATATTATATCTATAACAAATTCTGATGCATCTATTTTCATAAAAAATATCTTTAAAAAATCAATGCAATATAAGATTGGTACAAAAATAAATGATATCTTTAAGGCTTCAAAAAATTCTTTAGCTTCTTTGCTTTATTTAAGTTTGTCTTTACATGTCAAACATGTAAGAAGAGCTGCAACTTGAAATTTTTTTTTGATGAAGATCAAATAATAATTGACAAATTCAAGTTATATTACACATCTCATATTTTTTTTGGAACCTTTTAATCCATAATAGTTTAGACCTTCTTAGGATCTATCGTAAAACTATCATTTAAAATGATATATTGTCATAGACATACACATGTAAGTATCCTAGATATATACATGTAAGCCAATAATTACTTGTATAAATAAATAGAAGTAGATAGAAGTAATTAAAAGTAAGTTAATTCTATAATATCTTCTAAAAAAGCTTCCTAAAAGCTTCATAGACTCTACTTTGACTTTATATATATCTATTGTTTGATTTTTAGGTTAGAAACTTAATCAACAACTTAACCATGTGCTACACATATTGGTAGCTTGAAGAACAAGCTAATTATATAGCTAACATATAAAAAAACTTGCCTTATAAGTTAAAGCATGTATCGTATAAAGTCAATACATATTAGAGGTCCTACAGAACATCATCACATAGCCTCTAGTTAGATAGTATATATAAAGATAAGAGTAAAGCCCTCTTCACTCTTGTTAATTCTTTTCTTGCTTCTAGTCTAGTTTCAAGAGTCTCAAATTTTCTTATCTTTTGGCAATAAGCCATTTCAATTTCTTATTAATATATGTACTTCCTTATTTCTATTTTGTCATTTTTTTTTGACACAAATTTCATTGGTTTATGCACCATCTTCGAATTTATGTCTTTGATAGATTGACAAGAGTATACTTATAATATCAGAGATTTTTTTTGTCTTGATTAAGAGTAAATTATCCCTTTCTCATGATAAAACATAAATATAT